GGGAGGGAGGGAAAAGTCACTGGACTTGGCAATAATTTCTGGAAAGAATTCTGAGGAAGTAATTTTCTTTGAAGTTTGCCAGCGGGGGGTGGGGGTCAGAAAAGTAAGGAGTAGAAGCCAATTAATATAGACTTTTACTGACACGTTTGATAAGAGAAGCCGGGTCCAGAGAAGGTGATTTTAGGGACTAATCCTATTTTTACAGTTTCTCTAGTAGGGTGAGTGAGGACACAGAGGGAGACAACTAAGGTACTGAAAATAAAAACATGAGGCCACATCCTGGAAATGTTGTGCATAGAGTTGTGTGTGCAGGGCTTTTCATAGGCACTGTGTTATCTGATCATTCCCTGGTCCCTGAAGATACATCCCATGACTGATACGCAAAGTATGGTTCCTAGACCCGCAGTACGCACAGAACAGAGAAAGTGTTAGAAAGGCACATTCTTGGGTTCCGCATCAAACCCACGGAATCTGAAATTGCAGACATGGGACCCCCCGCAATCAATTTTAACAAGTCCTCCAGGGGATTTTAATGCTAAGTCCTGACATCCACTACACGCAGGCGACAACGATAGAGACCACTGTAAGACGTGGCGGCCTCAATCGGTGGGCAGAATTTCGATTCAGAAGCCTATGCCTAGGTCTTCCATTTCTGAGAGTAGYGGTGCACGACCCCAGGTAGCCAGCATTGCAGAGTAAAGTCACCCTACTGCAGGGTTGGCCTAACATACTAGACAGGGGCAGTGGAGAAGCGTAGCTCTCTTTATTCAAGCCAAGCCCTTGTCCCGCCCCTGCCTCCGCCCACTCATGGCCCGAGCATCCCCACCCTCAGGCTCCAACTTCCGGCGCTSGAGAAGGGGTCGGCAGGGTTGGGACTGGGGAAGGATGTATCCAATTTCGGGACTGGCGGGGGACGCTTTCGTTCACTCAATACCCCTATTTGCTAAGAGGCAGGATGACGCGGAGGAGAAAGAAAGACAGGCTAGCCTAGGACAAATATGTAGGCAGTCGGGGATATAACAAGGGAATAAAGGAGTCTGAAACTCCTGCTCTCTTCCTTGCTTTACTTTCCCACCCCTCGCTTCCAGGAATGGAAAAGACGGAGGATTGCGGCCGTGATAGGGGCAGGGCGCGGGGTGGTGCAAGGAGGAGAAATCTCGCGAGAGCGGAGCGACCGAGGAGGGGGTGGCACTTCTTCCCTCCTCCTCCTCGCGTTAGTTCCGGTCGCAGAGGAGACACCGCTGCAGTTGCCGCCACATCGGGGATTTCTGGCTCTTTTCTCTTCGCCTTAAATTCGGTGAGGCCAGTCGCCCGACTCTTGCTGGGCCGAGATTGCGGCCCGTCGTCGCCGGGCAAAGGGCAAGGGAGGCAGCAGGTCGGGTGCGGCGAGGCTTGGGTGGGCCTAAGCGGAGGCCGCCGCCTGAGGCCAATCGGATCCGGGGCCTGGATTCGAGGGTCGGGTTCCTAGCTTTGGCTGGGAGGCCGAGAAGCCGGAGATCGAGCCAGAAGTAGGGCCCGGGAGCTTGCCGCGGCGCCGCAGGCGAGGCAGTGGCCGAAGCGGCCCACCTCTGGACGCTGCCCGGGCCTGGGTAACAAAGCCGCCGCGGCCTCTGTTGGGTGATGTACGCGTGGGGGGTTCCGGCGGGCGGGGCGGAGGAGCCGCCACCACCACTGAGGCCGCCTCCTCCGCCGCTGCTTTCGCTGGAGGGCGGGCGGATGTACGGGGCGGCGGGGCCCCCGGCGCGGAGCGCCTCGGCGCCTGTGGTCCGCTCGTTGCGGCGGCCGCCACCCCAGGCGACAGGGTCAGTGGAGAAGGGCCCATGGGACCCCACGGCACCCGACTGTAGTCGAGAGAGGGTTCCGGGACAGGGGCGGCTTATCTGCTGCTCTTGTGGGTGGCTAAGGAAGAGTGTGGGTTGGGAGGCACGTGCCCGGGGACGAGGCTCACTTAGACTGTAGGTTACAGGGCAAAGGAGGCCCGGCCGTCACAGCTAATTTTGCAGGCCGGAGTTGTGCAAGCTTCCGTTGCGATCACAGGCGTGCCTTTGGGGTAGGGTGGTACTGCTCAGAAGAAGGGATTCCCCTTTTGACGGCGTCTCAGGATTGAAATACACATTTCGGTGATTAGTGATAATTTCGGCGTTCTGTGGTGCTTAGAAGTAGTGGAAGATGTAGGCGAATTTAAAGAGGAATGTGGAAGAGACTTAACAATTATGTTTGTGATGGTGGATTTGTCACTGGTCACTGTGACACTGTAAAGTCATCCAAAGGTGTAGTTCCCAGGAGTTCCTTAAAGTGCTTCTTATAGAGAGAAATGCAGATTTTGAAGTTAGATTTAATTCAAGTGAAGATAATTCTTTGTGCCTGCACCTGGTATATTGTCAAGTTGAAAGTGTGTTCCATGTGATTTATATGTGACTAGACTTAAGTTTTTTCTATGCTTCGTTTTTATATGACTGTTACAAACAGATACTTTTAAGGCCATATTTCTGTTTTCCTAGGGTGTCTTTTATGAATAATCAAAAGCAGCAAAAGCCAACGCTATCAGGCCAGCGTTTTAAAACCAGAAAAAGAGGTAAATATTTATGTTTAAATATCTCTCTTCACACCTCCAGATATCTTTTGTATCCTGGTTCCTCTGACAGTCATTGCATAGTACTAAAACCACAAGAGAGAATACCAGAAAGGAACTTGAATTTCTAGGTAACTTCCATTTCAGATGTGCCCCTAATACTTCTACTGCTTTCTCAAATTTGTGCTTTTTAATTATCAGCATATCTCTAAGCAGGTTATTCAATGTTGTTTTTAGTGTAAAAATAAAATACCTTCTAGGACTAGGGTTGTGGCTCTAGTGGAGTGCTTGCCTAGCATGTGTGAGGCACTGGGTTCAATTCTCAGCTATATATATATATATATATATATATATATATATATAAAATAAAGAAAGAAAGGTTCATCAACATCTTAAAAAAACTTTCTAAAAAAAGGAGTTCACTAGCTAGCAGTTTCATTTAAACAAACTTTTGCTTGAGCAAAGAGGTTAATTTGTAAAAAGAAAATTCCTAATGTCATTAATTTCACCCAAATTATGCCAAGATGTGTGATAAAGATTGGGCATGTAACTCAGTGGTAAAGTGCTTGCCTTGGGTATGATCTGCAGCAGCACCCCCCCCCCCAAAAAAGTGTAAAGAGAAAAGTCATAATTTACCCATAAAATGGAAGTAAATTATGGAGTAAGAGTCAGGTTGTAATGTGTAATGAAATTAAATATTTCTTACAGATTTAGTAAGAAACTAACTACTTTTTTTTTTTTTTTTGTATTGGTGTGTGCTTAAATGAATGTTGACTTCTGTAGCAAGGAATTGTGCTAGTAGTACAGGAGCTAAATAAGATATGGTGTCAGGTTTTTTATTAAGCTTAATATTTTCCAAAAAAAAAAAAAACACTTTCAAGTATTCTTGCTTGAAAACACATAATCTGTTTTAAAAGAAGTTTAGAGAAATGGGTCAATTAATGGTAATAAGTTGTTTTTCTTTTTCTTTTTTTTTTCAAGAGTAAAAAATAAATTTAAGAAACAGAAAGGAGAAAGGGAGAGAAAGAGAGAGAGTGACTCTTCCAGAGAAGAGGGGCTCCAGAGCTGGTTCCCCAAGGAATGGGGATGTCCTGCCCCTTTTTATAGATTTCAGGTTTCCTTTCTTCTCAGGCCTCCTCTTCCCACTCAGCCTATGTGACCAAAATGGCTGGAACAGAGCTTGGGGGGAGGGGGCTACCACTCCTATGTGGGCCCAAAAAGGCAGGAAAGGAGCTACCTGGTATATTCTTTGGCAGCTTCTTGCTAGATACATTCATTAGCAGCTCCATGCTGGGAGGAATAATTCCCTGGGGGCAGGTGACCTTGGCAACTCCTTGGCCTTGGAGGGGAAGTACTCATTTCTTTTTGGATCAGCCACCATCTTCCTGACCCAATCATTCATTATCTATAGGGACTGTGTAAACCCAGTCTCCTTCCCCCTTCTGATTAACGGAAGTGTACAGTGAGAGCTCTGGCTGCTTCAAGCTGGAAAGGGCTGACATGGAACAAGCAGATTGGGTTTCCCTTTTAGGAATGTTTTGGGTCAGTCTAGGGGTCTGTGGTAAAAGTCTAGTTTGAAGTCTTCTGAGAGGTGGGTGCTATTTGGTGACAATTCCAGATGAGCCCCCATCTGAACCTGGTCTTGAAAATCAGGATCTGGTCCTTGTTCCCCCAGTGTTGAAGATTAAACACCTGAGAAATGCTAAGGCAAGARCAAAAGGTAAATTTTATTTAAGAAACAGACTCCTCCAGAGAGAACAGGGTCCAGAGCTGGTGCCCCTGTTTTTCTTTTTCTATCTTGAGTAATACACAACTGAGATATGTTACAGTCTTTTATAATCTCTAGTATTCTGTTCCCTTGTAGAGGTGGTAAGGAGAGCAAAGTGTGATTTGATTCTAGTCTTTGCAGGTACATTTAGATTTAGCCAGTTAATTTTCTTAAGGAACAGGAGTTATAAACTAGAACAAATAATGCTGGTCAATAATATGCTTTCCAACTGTGTGTTCTGGTGCACACCTATAATCCCAGCAAAGCAGGGGACTAAGGCAGGAGGGTCATAAGTTCTAGGCCAGCCTCAGCAACTTAGCAGCAAGACCCAAAATTTTTTAAAAAGCATTCCTGTGTTCAGTTTGCAGTAACCACCTCTCAAATAAACAAACAAAAAATTTAACCCTGGGAGCCAGCTGGTGTGGTGACCTGCCTGAAATCCCAGTACCATTAAAAAAAAAAAATACATATACACACATTTTCCAAAGATTACTTTAATAAATACCAAATGAATGGTTAAATTAAAAACCAAATTGTTTGTGCATCTAAAGAACCAATACCCCAAGTATTTGGACAAATTTTCAAAGGGTCACTTAAGGTTTGAAGGATAGTCTAAACTCTGAAAAAGCCAAGATGCCTTAGAACATTCCAGGTGGAATTGTCTTGTGGCAGTAGGTACATGAAACATGAGTGCAATTTAGCTCACTTAATGAGATTTGTTTGAAAGAGTGGCAGGAGAAAAGCCACATAATTTGTGTGACTAGGCCATCCTGACTTACATTTGCAGAGGGAAGCTTGCAAAGGATATGAATATAGTCTCTTTCCTCTTGTGTTTATTGCAAGTATTGGGTCATATAGCTTGTGTTTGCTTTTTTCCCAGCTGTTGAAATAAATTAAGAGGAATTTGGTTAACATATTGTAGTTTGATGGTACAATAAGTCTTTTGGTAAGACTTCAAATGATTTGGGTTTTTCCCCACAGATGAAAAAGAGAGRTTTGACCCTACTCAGTTTCAAGACTGTATTATTCAAGGCTTAACTGAAACTGGTACTGATTTGGAAGCAGTAGCTAAGTTTCTTGATGCTTCTGGAGCAAAACTTGACTATCGCCGATATGCAGAAACACTCTTTGACATTCTGGTGGCTGGTGGAATGCTGGGTAAGTGTCTGGGTTTTGTTGGTTTAGGATTTTAGGGAAGTGAATGTACAGAGATTATGGAGAATCCAGAATATAGACTATTGATGAACCTATTGGGTGGGGTGGTATTTTTGGCTCTGTTGTATTTTATTTCGTTTCTGCCCCCATAAGTGTTTCCATTCTTTTCTTCTAATTCATAATAAGTTATCAGATTTCCCTGTTCTGTCAAGCCTCATGTTTGAAGTCTAATTTCCTACAACATCCCCAATTGATGATTTTTCCAACATATGTTTGAATACTACCATTTTATGGAGAAACTTCTACCCTTGATTTGTTCTATGAATGCTCTAGTCCTGTGCTGCTCAGTACAGTAGCCATTTAGTCACATATGCCTATTAAGTACTTGGGATGAGGCCAGTGCAAATTAATATATGCAATAAGAATAAAGTACACATTGAATTTTGAAGATGTAATAGAAAAGAGCCAGACATGATAGTGTAATCCCAGCTACTTAGTGAATCTAAGRCTGGATAATTAGCTTTAAGGCCATCTTGGGCAACATAACAAGGCTCCATCTCCAAAAAGTTTTATTTTTAAAAGTTAACAGAAAAAAGAATGTAAGACAAGTTATTTCAAAATGTTTTTAGAGTGATACTATTGCCAGCCAAGCTATGAGGCCTACCTGACAGTGAATTACCCAGTAGTAGACCCAGGGACTTAGAACTCCTACCATTTTGGGGAGTGAAATTTGCCAAATTATATTGTTATGTTGTTTACATGTTTAAATATATAACAACAAATCCCACTATAAACTATAATGCACCAATAAATGAGGGAAGAATTCATCCCTTTTAATGCCTAGTCAAGTGAGTATTTCTTTTCATTGCATTAGCCAATTTGTAGTAAAAAATATGAAAGGTTTCTATTTCTATTCATAATACTGTTACCAGTAAGGTTTTTTTTTGGAGGGGGCGGGGAAGATCTTTAAAAAAATATTTACCAAGGAAGCCAGGTACATGTCTGTAATCCCAACTGTTAAGGAGGCTAAGGCAGAAGCATGGCAAGTTCAAAACTAGCTTAAACAGCCTAGGAAGACCCAGTCTCAATAAAAAGGGCTGGGGATGTGGCTCAGTGGCAGAGTGCCCTGGATTCAGTCCTGAGTACAGATTTTAATCAAAATTGTTTTTCTACGGAACATTTAAAATACATCATAAAGAGAATAATATAATGAACACATCTGATCTTTTCCCAGCTTCAACAGTTGTTAACATATCTGTGCTTTTTTCCTCCTTCCCCCGATTTTTTAAAGCATTAAGTTTTCATAACAGAATTTGTTTTTATAACAGAAGCTTGAAGGATTACTTTCTTCATGGAAAATTACATKTAATCAGAGCCATCTCTGAACATCTCCATTTGACAGATTTGGCACTACTGAATGGTTATAGAGTTACTTTAGGGTGCTAAGATTGTTCTATGTATTCCTGTGTACATTTTTACTCTTCATTCTTATATTCTGAACCCACCAAACACACTGGTTGATTAATTTTGCTTTTAAATTTGTCTTTTAGGATGTTACCATCTTATTTTCTATTGAAAATTCTTCTAAAAAATATTTTTTTAAAAAAAATGGGGCTTGGGCTGTGGCTCAGCAGTAGTGCACTTGCCTGGCATGTGTGGGGTACTGGGTTCAATTCTCGGCACCACATATAAATAAATAGAATAAAGGTCTATCAACAACTAAAAAATATTTTAAAAATAATAAAATAAAATTGCAAAATTTGAGACTGGGATGTAGCACAGTGGTAGTGCCCTTGGTTCAATCCCCAGTGCGGAAAATAACTAAAATAAGCAAAATTTTTYGTTGAATATTCTTTAGCCCCAGGTGGTACACTGGCAGATGACATGATGCGTACACATGTCTGCGTGTTTGCAGCACAAGAAGACCTAGAGACCATGCAAGCATTTGCTCAGGTAAGTAAGATTTTACTTCATGTTTTCAGTTAGCTAATGTTTAAGGAACATTTTGCTTTAAAAGGAGGGACATGTAGTTGGGTGTGGTGTTGCAGGCCTATAATACCAGCCACCCCGSAGGCTGAGGTAGAAGGGTTTCAAGGTCAAGGCCAGCCTCAGCATTTTAGCAAGACTTATCTCAAAAAATAAAAAGGACTAAGGTGTAGCTCAGTGGTTAAATCTCCTATACCACAAACGTGCTCATGCACACACCCAGCAATACAAATCTATAGAGAAGTTGCAATTAAAGCATTAGTAGTACTGGTATATTTAGGATTGAGGAGCTGATAAAACTCTTCCCAAGTTGATATAAAGTGTAAGCTTTTGCCTTTAGTGTAAGACTTCCTTCTTTGCTGTTCTGGAAATAACTTTGGTGTTCTTCATAGGTTTTTAACAAGTTAATCAGGCGCTACAAATACCTGGAGAAAGGTTTTGAAGATGAAGTAAAAAAGGTATGAGGAGGGATTGGGTGTAGCTCAATGGTAGAACAAGAATAGGGTCAGGAAGAGAATGTTAAATTCTAATTCCCACGGATTTGATATAATTTTAAATACTTAGGTGTAATTGAAATCTAATTTTGGAGTATATTATATAGTTTGTTAAAATAGTTCTAACTTGTGCACTGTTGCTTAGCTGTGTCCAAACAAATGGCAAAGTTAAAAGGCTAAGTGGAGTTGTTCAGAATATGGAGGGCAAAGGATCAGAGCCTAAAAAATTGAATAACAAATTTAGCTTAGCTTACTTGATATTTGAGTCCTAGTGTGAAATATTTTATAAACAGGTGCAAAGAAAATCTGATAACATTAATATTTATTGAGTGCCAGGTTTTGTTCTAATTATATCAACTCATTTAATATTCATTGAAGACCCTGGGAGCCAGGTGTAATAAGATGCCTGTAATCCTAGTGACTTGAAAGGCTGAGGCAGGAGGATTGCCAGTTTGAGACCAGCCTCAGCAATTTAATAAGGCCCTAGCAACTTATCGAGGCCGTGTCTCAAGATTTAAAAAAAAATAAAAAGGGCTGCAGATGTAGCTCAGTGTAAASCACTCCTGTATTCAGTTCCTAGTTAACCCCCATCCCAGAACAAACCTGGGGAGGTTGAGGCAGGAGAATCACAAGTTTTGAGACCAGACTCAGCAATTTAGCAAGATCCTATCTCTGGCTGGGGCTATAGCTCAGTGGCAGAGTGCTTGCCTAGCAAGTGAGGCACTGGGTTCAATCCTCAGCACCACATGAAAATAAAATAAAGATATTGTGTCCACCTATAACTAAAAAATAAATATTAAAAAAAGGCAAAAAAAAAAAAGGAATTCTGTCCATCTACAACTACAAAAAAAGGGGGGTGGTTCCTATCTCAGAATAAAAAGGACTAGAGGTATAGCTCAGTGGTAAAGTACCCCTGGATTCRGTCCCGAATACAACCCTGGTAGGCAAATTTTATTATCCACATAAAGTGTGAGGAAACTGAAGCACAGAGATTAAATACTTTGCCCAAGATTATTTAGCTAATCAGTTATTACAACTAAGATATAAACTTGAGTGATTAGGTCCCAGAGCCCACCCTTTCAATCAATAGAGTGAGTGTGCCTTGCTGTTTGTCTTAGTGTAAAGCAATTGCTTTTCTGACCCTAAACTATTTACTTTTACAGCTGCTGCTGTTCTTAAAGGGTTTTTCAGAGTCGGAGAGGAACAAGCTGGCTATGTTGACTGGTGTTCTTCTGGCTAATGGAACACTTAATGCATCCATTCTTAATAGCCTTTATAATGAGAATTTGGTTAAAGAAGGTAATTAACCTTTAGCATAGGGTAGTCTTTGAATGGATTAGAGTGGAGTAGGTGTAATTAAAATAAAAAGAAATGCTTTGGGAACCCAGAAAGATTGGTACCAATTGGGAGACTTGGGACATCTTTAATGGAGATGACACACCAGAAAGATGTCAAGCTGAAAGGAATAATTAGTTCCCATTTGTGGCTTCTGTATTCTGACAGTGATTTTTTTTTTTTTTTTTTAAGCTAACTTGGGCTGGGGATATAGATCAGTTGGTAGTGTGCTTGCCTCACATGCACAAGGCCCTGGGTTCAATCCCCAGTGCTACAAAAAAAAAAAGCTAATATTTTTTTCTTCCCTTATATGGGGTACTAAGTATTTAAGGGTCTTTTAAATTCTCACCACATTCCTGTTATTGTAGGAACTGTTACCCTTAACTTACATTACAAGACACTAAGTATAAAGTTGGCCAAAAATATGCAACTAGCAAAGGATGAAATAGGTGGGGCTGGGATTGTGGCTCAGTGGTAGAGAGCCTGGAGGGTGGGGTGGGACCCGGTTCCATTCTCAGCACCATATAAAAATAAAGGCACTGTGTTGTGTCCATCTACACCTAAAAAATAAACATTAAAAAAAAGGATGAAATAGAGACATTGAAGTGAAAATGTAAGCAGTGGTAAAGGAAAACTGAGGATTCAGTTTAGAAAGAGAATGAATAATCCTGTGTGGTTGAACTGTGGAGGGGGGAGTACATCGAGATAACAAGATTACAATCTGAGAAGGTATTTCTGTTAGATGAGCTTTTTCTCCTCCCTTTCCCCTTTCACAGGAGTTTCAGCAGCTTTTGCTGTAAAACTCTTTAAATCATGGATAAATGAAAAAGACATCAATGCAGTAGCTGCAAGTCTTCGGAAAGTCAGCATGGATAACAGACTGATGGTTTGTAACTTTTCTCTTTCTTCCCATTCCTACCAACCCTAGAGGTATATGTAAGAGAAATTTTATTTTGAAATCTGAAAGGGGACAATATTTTAATTCTTTCAGGAACTTTTTCCTGCCAACAAGCAAAGCGTTGAACACTTCACAAAGTATTTTACTGAGGCAGGCTTGAAAGAGCTTTCAGAGTATGTTCGGAATCAACAGACCATAGGAGCTCGCAAGGAGCTCCAGAAAGAACTTCAAGAACAGATGTCCCGTGGCGATCCATTTAAGGATGTAAGCAGTTTTTCTTTAAACCATCTTTTTATGGCTAAACTTCTGGCACTTTCATGCATTTGAGAAACTTCAGAAATATTTCACCAGAGTGAGTGAATTAATACTTAGAGAATTGTACTTCATCTTAGCCATTTTCATATAATTAATTATTCAGTACCTTACTGATGTCCCAAAATGATGAAACTTGGGTATTTTGTGCAGTCCATTTGACAGACCTGACTCTGTTTCCCTCACAGTCCCTACTAGCTGGTTTGTGTGTAAAGTGAGGCTAAAATTCACTACCACTTCCAGTTCCAAAGGTTCTATCTATATGTGGTACATATGTGGTTGTTGCGAATTGCATGAAAAGGTATTTTTATGCTTTCATAAAATGTCTAAGTTTGATGTGTGAAGTATATATATCAAAACTGACTTCCTTTACTAAATTTGGATTGTTTTGCAGATAATTTTATATGTCAAGGAAGAGATGAAAAGAAACAACATTCCAGAACCAGTTGTCATTGGGATAGTCTGGTCAAGTGTAATGAGCACTGTGGAGTGGAACAAAAAAGAGGAGCTTGTAGCAGAGCAAGCCATCAAGCACTTGAAGGTATTAGAACTGTGCCTGACAAACTGTTCTGCTTTTTAAGTGGGGATAAGTGAACTGTCACTGTACTTTTCTAAGTGGATATCTTTGGTTCCTGGGGATGACCCTCCAGTAAGTAGACAAGTAACATATTAACTACTGATAACACTTTTAAGTCTGACTTAGGCTTTATTTGGTTCACAGGTTAAAAAACAAGAAAACGTTTAAAAGTAATTTAAGCCTGCAATTTGATGTTTGTTTTTGAGAGAATATTGGAAAACACCCCCCACCCATATTAACTGTTCAACAGTTGCCTGAAATGCTTACAGAATTATTTGATTTTGATGCTTAGTAGGTTTATGGGGGTTTGTTTTGCTTTAATATTCTTGCTTTTAATTTCCAATAAATATATTTCACAGTGATTTTAAAATGGATTGTGTTCTGTGTTGTGAGAGTTTTATAATGGTTGGTTATTGTATTGAATGACTAAATATTCTCTTCCTTTAAAAGCAATACAGCCCTCTACTTGCTGCCTTTACTACTCAAGGTCAGTCTGAGCTGACTCTGTTACTGAAGATTCAGGAGTATTGTTATGACAACATTCATTTCATGAAAGCCTTCCAGAAAATAGTGGTGCTTTTTTATAAAGGTAATATAAATTTTGAATGTTGTGAATGTGTTTTTTAAGTTCTTGAACTAGAGGAGCCAGGTGTGATGGCACATGCCTGTAATTCCATCTACTCAGGAGGCCAAGGCAGGAGTTTCACAAGTTTGATTCCAGCCAAACTTCACAAGATCCTGTCTCAAAATGAAAAGGAGGATTGGAGGGTGGCAAGTCCTTGAATAGTCCATTGCTTTCAAATGAGTATCTGAACTTGGGCTCCTTGAACTGTTTTACTTCTAGGCATCTTTGATTAAGTTGGGTGCTTTTTAAAATATTTCTGTCAGAATATCTCCCTATTCACAAGTTAAAATCCAAAGCCATTGTGATGGAGTCTGAGAGTTGGCTCTTAACACTTCTAACCACACCACATCAAATTCCCCCAGGTTGGGGCTGGGGATGTGGCTCAAGCGAGCGCGCTCGATCCTCAGCACCACATACAAAGAAAGATGTTGTATCCACCGAAAACTAAACATAAATAAATAAATAAATATTTTAAAAAAATTTTTTTCCCTGGTCCCTTCTCCAGACATACTTCCGACCTCTAGTCTTCTGCCTATGGGAAGCCCATCACTCAATGTTGATTTTCATTTGTGCTTTAAGACTAGTTTAGAATGCTTCTGTAACTCCCCTATTGCATTTTTTGCTTCTTTCCTGAGATCTGAGTTATAGAAACATGTTGTAAATTTAGTAGTAAATGCAGGCCTCTGTTGGGAGAGAACCCATGCAGGCAGTTGATTTATTAGTGGTGATAGCACTTTACAGTTCCCCATTTATCAGAGAAGCCTGAATCCCAGTAGATGTAGATGGTCTGTACATGTGTTCTCTCTCTAGTTTTCAATGATGATCTTTTCAGTTCTGTGTATTCCAAACTTAAGAACAGGAATCAACCCTGGTCTCTAAAAAACGTTTAAAAGGAAAGTATGGAAAATGGGTAGTACTTATGCTTCAGTGATTGTCATCTTGTATTTAGGTTTATTGAAAGCATTTATTCAAATCCCTACAGTTTGGGTAGTTTCATACATGGGCAGCAAGTTGAGAAAAGTCTTTTAAAAATAATGATCCTTTCATCTTTTTGACTTTTCTTGAAATTGTGAAGAAACCAGTGTTTTGAATAGATTTGTCTTATAACCAACAAAAATAATGTTTTTACTTTCTGTAAAAATGTTGTTGCCAAGCAGGCATTGATAGTTGATAATTTTGAACCACCTTAGGTAGTTGTAATTCTGCCTCATGTGGAGAAATACATTAAAACTCCTAATGTAATGATTTATTGCTCTCTATAGCTGAAGTCCTGAGTGAAGAGCCGATTCTGAAGTGGTATAAAGATGCACATGTTGCAAAGGGGAAAAGTGTCTTCCTTGAACAAATGAAAAAGTTTGTTGAATGGCTCAAAAATGCTGAAGAAGGTAAGTCTTTCCCTTTGTGCAGATGGTTTGGAAACTGATTTTAATATTTAGGCTATATGTCCACATTTGCATTCTTCTCATTCTCTTGCTACTTTGTACCTAGGGAGTACCTATACCTTGTTTACTTATGACAAACTTGCAAATAGTCATTTGATTTAAGCCAGTTGGGGAAATTAGGCTATAATTATTAAAGTATTTTGATGGCACAGCTATAATACTAAAGATTCTTAGAAGGAATATTGACTTTTTGTTTGGTACTGGGGATTAAACCCATGGGTGCTGTACCACTGAGTTACATACATCCCCCGTCCCTTTTTTTTTTTTTTTCCATTTTGAGATGGGTTCTTGCTGAGCTGCTGAGGTTGGCCTCAAACTTGGAATCCTGCCTGCCTCGGCCTCCTGAGGAGCTGAAATCACAGGTGTATATCATCATGCCTGGCAGGAAATTGATAATTTTGAGAATATTTATTTATTTTGAGATTTATGAATGAATACTTTTTAATGTCTTCATATAAGTAAGATATTACTAGTGGAATTCTTCTTTATAATTTTAAGTGTTTTAAAGTAGAAAATGGGAAATTTTGCTTTCTGACATATAATGTTTGACTACATTTTCCCCCTTTCTAGAATCGGAGTCTGAAGCTGAAGAAGGTGACTGAATTTTGAAACTACATCCTCAGTAAAGCAAACAGGAGTTGTAGATAAAATGTCATGTCTCATGTGTCCTGGTTCTTACATCTTCCTACCTCCCTATATCAAGCATGATATAAGGGCTTTCATGGCAAATTTTATTTTAACTGTTTCTATGGTTACTGGAAATGTTGGGTTTAGTTTCTAAAACCATGTTTTAAGTAGCTACAGGAGCTATAGATTTGAATCTAATGTTGCATTAGTCTTTTCAGTTATCTTCTACCTCCTGTATT